TTCTTCAAAATTATTGTTGTATCAGATTATTTTGTGGTTTTTCGATTAGAAAAAAAATTAGAAAATTTTTGAAAACATAAATCGAATTTAAAAATTTATTTTAGATTTTTGTGTTTTTAGTGGTTTTATATATTTCAAGCATTAGGTGAGGCCCATATAGGGTCAATTTTGCTCTGTATTTATTATGGGCATTAACTTTTAATAATCTGCATAAACCCTTGTCATACATATTATGCCATTTTTTGTACAAAAGATTTGATATAGAATGTGAATTCTCTTCAAATTACTAAGTCATTGAGGTTTCACATGCTGAAACCCCTACATTGTTCATTATATGGTATTATAAACATTTGAATGTTTATAATACCAAGAGTTTCTATAATGACTAAACAAAGCAAGAGTTTTTATAAAGAAGCTTACATAGCCACAAATTCATTGTTTGTGGCATTAATTGGGATTGAATGATCATAACACTAGACTTTCGAGAGTATACTTAATCAAGAACAAATAGTTTTGGAATATTTGTTATTTTTTTCTAAGCTAAGATGCAATGACAGAATGTACAGTTAATATATATTGTGCGCGTACATTAATTATCATCATTAGTCATTAGCAGACTTTTTTTGGTAAAATGTCATTAGCAGAATTTGAGCATCAAGTCCAACTTATGGATTCTGCTCTTGATTTTGCTTGGCTTGGATATCATCATCATTCCAACACATGTTTCCTTGAGTCCATTAGCCTGAGTTCTCAATGGACGTTATTAACGTCATGCATAATCCTTCCATACCATTCACAGATGTTATAAAGTCGTTATTCATATTTAAAACTAGGGATCGTATTAATTCTCGTCTGCACCAAATCTGAAATTTCTTTGAATATGCAATGACGTATTGTTGAAATTTGTGATTGTAAACAAAACATTGTAATTTGTTCTTCCGATAATAAGAAAAAAGTCTTAATTTAGAAATCTGAAAGCTCGTATATATTAATCTCATCATTAGCTCTCGGAGAGCTTACATACTTAGCTAAAAGCATAAAACTTTAACTTAACCGTTATAAACAAATTTCCTAATCACCTTTTTTTTTATCGGCAAACCATTTTATTATAAAAATGGTAAATAAAAACCCAATACTCTAAAGACCATTTCACATTTGAAGCCCAACATTACAGATAGAGAGAGAGAAAACCTTCATTAGTCTAATCATGTCATTTCCTAATCAATTTTTTTCATCTGAAACTATATATATTAGAACCTGAGTGAAACATGTTTACAACCTTCAAACATGTTTACAACCTGAGTGAGACAGTTTTGGGCTCTATTTGACTTTCATTCTCCTCGGAATGGCTTTGATAAAGAATGAGTTTACAAACTTCCAATTTCTGCTGAATGTGGCTAAGAATCAGGATTTTCCCAAGGAATTACGTAATAGCTTCCCATGGATTCTATGGAGAATCTGGAAAAATAGAAACTCCTTTTTCTTTGATGGGAAAATATTTAATGCAGATGAATCGGTCGGGAAAATAAGAGAAAACTCAGAAGGATGGTTCAATGCTCAGAAGATTGAATTAAGGGATAATGAGACCATTAGAGAATCTCAGGGTTTTAGAATCAGCAGGAAATGGTCTCCTCCTCAAACGTACTGGCTTAAATGCAATGTTGGAGCTACCTGGTCAAAGAGAATCAAGGTTTGTGGAGCAGGTTGGGTTTTCAGAGATTCAGAAGGAATATTTTTGGTTCATAGCGGAAGATCATTCTCCAATGTGAAAAAATTGATGGATGCTAAATTCATGAGTATAATCTGGGTGATGGAGAGCATGTTGAAAGTTAAACTTGATTTTGGATTAAGTTTAAAGTATTGGGCTAATGATCTAATAACTATTTGTTGGATTCAACTTCTAGAAACTCTCTAGAATCATCTTCATATTTCTCCACCTCCTTAAAACTTCTAGAAAGTAATAATCTAGATATTTGTATAATAATATCTAGATAATTGTAGTAGAATAATCTAGAGACTAGATTAAAATATTAGAGATATTTTGTAACATGGAGGCTATAAATACCTCCATCCTCTCTCCCATTTGTATCGATGATGTATGTTGTTGTTCTAAGAACTCTAAAAGCAATAAAACCTTCTTCTTCCTAAAAGTTTTTGTTCTCTCCAAAGTACTTAAGCACTTTCTCTTATCACCTCAAAATATTTATTCCCAACAAAGTAGTATCAGAGCTAGAAGATTCTCTTTAAAATGGCAAGTAATAGTGTTCCCTTTCAAATCCCAATGCTCACAAAGTGCAACTACGACAACTGGAGTTTAAGAATGACAGCTATCCTTGGAGCACATGATGTATGCGAGATAGTCGAGAAAGGCTTCACTGAACCAGAGAATGATGGGAGTCTATCTCAAACTCAAAGGGATAGTTTGAAAGACTCAAGTTTAATTCTTAGAGCTATTCTGCAAGAGCACAAATGTGCAGTTGTAGTATGTAGGGGTCAAACCATAGAGACGAGAGATTCGCTCAATAAACTCTATAGGCTTGAATTACGCTAAGCAAACACAATGAACTTAAAAAGCAACAATGCAATAAAAACGATTGTAAACTCGATGGAAAAGAATTAGGCTCAGGGTATTTCTCAAGAAATTAGAGAATGCAGATTAATCGATTATTCAGGGTTCAGGGTTAAGCACAGTTCTTGAACTCAAATCACGCAATTATAATTAACCAACTTCCTTCGCGAAAATTATCTAAGTCTAAATCTTAGAATTCCAAATTCTTTTGCAAACCCTAAAGATATAAACCAGCTTTAACCTCAAGTTCGATATGTTCACAAAGTATCTAAACCAAATTCCTTTGCGAATAGTTACTTTTCTCACCCTAGGTTCTTTCCAGTTATTCAATTACACTTCCGTGTCAATCAATGAACCTAAGATCTTAGTTCTAGGTGGCTAGTCCAGAATTAGCTTTAAGAACAACCTATGGTGAAGAACTAAATAGATTATGAACCTTAACTAATCAATCAATCCAACATTCAATGAAATCCTTATGAGAACCCCAAACCTAACAAGCTAACTACTCAGACATGGAGATTGAAGCAATGAACATGTTTGAATAGATTGCATAAAACAGTAAATAGATAAATAAACAAGGGTTCAAAATCTTCTCTCTCCCGAACAGAGTTTCAGACTTGTCTCTCCAAAATCTCTCTCAAAGTATCGATGAATAGAAATCAAAAACTCTCTCTAAGAAAATCTAAGGGTGTCGATATATGGTGGCTAAAAACCCTAATAAATACTAAAAACCACGTGTTGGGCTTCCTTATAAATATTGGAGACTTCTGGGCCCAAGAGATTCTTCAAAACTTGGACAAAATCATGTTTTCCTTATTTCTTCGATAAGTGTCGAGCGTCACCCTCTATGGTGTCGAGCGACACTAAAGCACATAATTCATCCTTCACGAATTTGACCTTGTTTAGCAACAAAGTGCTCCAATATATCCAATTAAGCTCCAAACGTACCTAAGATCTGTAAAGACTCCAAAAGACTCGAAAAACACTAGAAAGACTCTATAAATAAGACTTATATCATGGTCGAAAACCATAAAAATCATGATATATCAACTCCCTCAGACTTAGCATTTGCTTGCCCTCAAGCAAACAGAAAACCAAGCAAGAGAAAGAGGTTTCAAAAACACGGAGATTCAACTTTCAATGGAATATCACGCTGACCGATCACCTTATAATCCACATACTGCTGCACCAATCCAAATCAAACCACCATGTACTTCTCTGCAAACATTCACAGCTTCTCAGATTAAGTCCAAAATTCCACAACATTGTCCATAAGCCTTCATCGTTGGGTCTGATCAATGATTCCAGTGCCAAGAACCTTATAGACTCTTTCATTTACTATACTTTGATAGATCAGCCATACAAATTTAGGTACTTCTTCTCTCCCCCAGACTTATTCTTTTCGCACTCTCATCTTTTATGGCATATACGATAAGGTTAAAGATGCGAGTATTGATGGTGTTTGCCATCGAATCCCCGATTTGTCCCCTTACCATGTATCAAAGGTTTTCGGCGAATAATGAGGTCATAAGAAACTTTCCTACCTATTACTTCCATCCTTTGTGTGATCATTCCTTCTTTTTATACTGAACATAAGGGAGAGAAACACCAACTTTAGATCTCATACATGCTTTCATTTGTCAAGTATAAACGAGGAATCAAGCTCTATGAACATCAGTCACATCAATGAGGTAAAAAAAAGAGTTCAGAAATTAGCTCATGTTAGTGGAATTTGTTGGAAACATATATGGACACCTCTAGTCAACTGATCAGCCTTTGAATTTTTCATTAGTCGGATCTAAACTGATTCTGCAGCAATGGTCACTCGGATAAAAAGTTAGAACAACAATCCAAGAAAAATATCATAATCTCCGACGAGTTTTGACTCAAAAACAATTTGACACGACTGTCTCTTACGAAAAACAAACACAATGTCAGCGACTACCTCCCTTAGACTTAAACAACAATGTCCCTAGTGTTATCTAGCTCGAAGGTGGCGAAACAAAAAAACGAAATAAAGAAACACAGTAAAAATGGAGAACTTACCTGGCTGCAATGATGGTGGCGACCGAAACTGATGATGGTGTCGTGCGACACTCGTTCTCCTCGTATATAATTTCAGCAGACCCATCCGAATTTCTGGTTTAACTCTGGTTTCCTGATTTCCTAATTTTTTTTTTGAACAGAAGCAAGTGACAGGCGACACTGATGGTGGTGTCGCTCGACACCAGCCTCTGCTTCATCTAAAACACGAAAACAAAAAAACAAAAAAACAAAAATTAACTGAAACAAAAGAACTTATGTACATACTTACCAGTGGATTGTCTTCCACCAAGTGCTTGTTTTAAGTCATTAGCTTGACTAGATGAATGGACTATGCATCTGGTGGATCAGACAGTGGCAAAGAATGCCTCTGTGAAATTCGTCTCATCTATGGTGATTTGTAGGCATTGTGCGCATGAGGTCGTCCAAGGAATGCAGGAATAGCACCAGGGTGAGATCTGTGTTTAGACGATTTTAACCTATTCCCTGCAATATCATCAATCAAAAAATCAAGTGTTATACGATAATCACGTAGCTTGCATCGTGAGACAGAGTCTGGATCTTTCAAATCAGTTTTGATGATATCACAAAAATTAGGATTAGGTTCAAGAGGTGCGTACCTTTGTTTGGGTGGAGATGAATGAAGCATGATGTTTTGAGCTGTCTGCTCAATAGCAGCTACTGGTTTTGTAGACGTCTTAGTCAACTCAGGTTGATCTATCACCATCTCAGCATCAAGCACCTTCTGATCTCCAACTATCACTTCTGGTATTGCACTGACTTGGAATGTCTGACCATCTATGGTTGGATCCTTCAGTTTCTCCATCTTGAAGTTCATGATTGTATCTCCCAGGTGGAGATCAATGTTACCATGCTTGACATCAATTACTGCTCCAGCTGTAGCTAAAAATGGTCTACCAAAAATTAGAGGATCATTTGGTTCTTCTCCGAATTCCAGAACCACGAAATCTGTAGAAATCATGCAATCACCAAGTTTAATCGGAACATCTTTCAAGACACCTTTTGGGATTCTTGTAGATCGATCTTCTAGGATCAGAAAGATCCTAGTTGGCTTGAAATCAGTCATCCCAAGGCTATAAGCTACATAGTATGACATGAGGTTAACACTCAAACCAAGATCACACAGCGATCTCTTGAACCTCTCTGAGAAGATAGAGCAGTCCAAAACAAAGCTTCTTGGGTCTGGGAGCTTCTCTGGAATTTTATTCTGAATCACAGCACTGACTTTCTCAGAAATCATCATCACTCTTTGCTCGTGACTGAGATTGTTGGTCACCATTCTCTTACCATAGCGTTTGATAACCAGAGTGATCTTCACAGCATCAACCAGAGGGATCTCGATCACAAGCTTTTCCATCAAAGCTTTGCACCTTGCATTGTCTAGCTCCTACTTGGATTTCCTAGGACTCCTTGGGTAAGGAACCTTAGGTTTGTAGACTCTTTCCTGCTGATTTCGGACTTTGAGCAATATCGGCTTCGCTCTGTAATTGGAATCTGTTCTAGCATAGACTTCACCTCATTATCAGGAGTTTGAGGAGGAGGATAACCATAGTTCCTTGAAAAACTGTTGTTGGAGTAGGATGTCAGGTACTAAGGTTTGGAGTTATAACCATAAGAGTTTTGATTACTGGTGAAGGTACTCCTCTGATTATTTCCATTGTAATTCATGTTTCCTCGCTGAGTGCCAAATCTATGACCTTGAAATCCAGCTCCATTGATGAAGTTAACATCCTTTTCCTCAGGTTCGAAACTCTCAACATCTGCAGCAAAATCTGACAGATTTCTTACCCACAAGAAGGCTATGCACAGAGTCTAGCTTAGCCTTTACCTCAGCAATCTGCGATCCATCCATGTTCCCAGCCTGATTCTTTTACTCATATAGTATGCATTCTTGGTATTATTGCTAGATGCCAAGTTCTCAATAAGCACAACAGCATCTTCAGGATATCTGGTGTTGAAGTTTTCATTGGTTGCAGCATCAAGAGCCATCTGATACCTCCAATCAACACATCTGAAAGAAATACCCAACAGTTGCACATCGCTGAAACCATGATGGGGGCAATCTCACTGATACAACTTGAATCTCAGCCATGCGGCTTTGAATGCCTCAATCGGTCCTTGAGAGAAAGTGGAGATTTTGAGTCTCAGTTCCTCAGACCTAGCATCACCATATAAAGTATGCATAAAGGCGTTTCTGGTCCTCTCCCAGCTCAAAGTCATTTCTCTGAAACGCAGGAGCGCGAATCGCAGACCGATTTGCATAGAATTGCTCAGGCATGTTGTACTCACCATGTATCCTGCCTCGAGCAACTACGATGTTCCTCATGTTCTGGTCCACTGCAGCATTCTCCTGTTTCTGAATAACAGCATCCTCTGGTTACCACGCACTGCAGGTGCTGCGTTCTCATCAACAACATCCACTGATAAAGGTGCCGGAGAGATGATGTTGCCCTCTCCATCAAGTTGCTGACCTCTCTCATTACACACATGACCCTCTTGGTCTCTCCAGACTCCAGCATCATCACGAACCAATGCCAATGCGTTCTCCATCTCTGCTAGTTTCTGAGACAAAGAGAAAAAGAAATGTAAGTAACAAAATAAAAAATAAAATTAAGAAAAACGATAGGTGTCGAACACTCGACACTAAAAACTTAGTCGAAACTCAAGAACTAAAGTCTAATGGTGAAAATCAAGTCCCCAGCAACGGCGCCAAAACTTGATCTGCTCAAAATTTAATCTCTAGAGATACTCTTCAAGAGCACAGATGTGCAGTTATAGTATGTAGGGGTCAAACCACAGAGACGAGAGATTCGCTCAATAAACTCTATAGGCTTGAATTACGCTAAACAAACACAATGAAATTAAAAAGAAAAAATGCAATAAAAATGGTTGTAAACTCGATGGAAAATAATTAGGCTGAGGGTATTTCTTAGGAAATTAGAGAATGCAGATTAATCGATTATTCAGGGTTCAGGGTTAAGCACGGTTCTTGAATTCAAATCATGCAATTATAATTAACCAACTTTCGTTGCGAGAATTATCTAAGTCTAAATCTCAGAATCCTAAATTCCTTTGCAAACCCTAAAGATATAAACCAGCTTTAAGCTCAAGTTCGATATGTTCACAAAGTATCTAAATCAAATTCCTTTGCGAATAGCTACTTTGCTCACCTTAGGTTCTTTCCAGTTATTCAATTACACTTCTGTGTCAATCAATTAACCTAAGATCTTAGTTCTAGGTGGCCAGTCCAGAATTAGCTTTAAAAATAACCTATGGTGAAGAACTAAATAGATTATGAACCCTAACTAATCAATCAATTCAACATCCAATAAAATCCTTATGAGAACCCTAAACCTAACAAGCTAACTACTCAGATATGGAGATTGAAGCAATGAACATGTTTGAATAGATTGCATAACAGTAAATAGATAAATAAACAAGGGTCTTCTCTCTCCCGAACAGAGTTTCAGACTTGTCTCCCTAAAAGCTCTCTCAAAATATCGATAAATAGAAATCAAAAGCTCTCTCTAAGAAAATCTAAGGGTGTCAATATATGGTGGCTAAAAACCCTAATAAATAATAAAAAACCACGTGTTGGGCTTCCTTATAAATATTGGAGACTTCTGGGCCCAAGAGATTCTTCAAAACTTGGACAAACACTACAAGAAAACAATCGTTTTCCAACGGTCCATTACGACGGTTTAAAAATCGTCGCAAACTTACAACGATTGTACGATGATGTTACGTCAAATTAAAAAACCGTCGTAAAACGGTCGTACAAAAAAATTGTCGTAACTTCGACGTACAATTTACGACGAATTACGACAAATATACATCAATAACGAGAGATTTGATATTAATTGCAAAATCGTCGTAAATTAGATGTAAAATTACGACGAATATATGATGACTGGTTTTTTATGTAAACGTTACGACGATTTTACGTCGACAAAGAAGTTTAGGTGAAGAACATTTAAAACATGTTTACCTAACTAATGTAGGTGAAAGATTTTATCGCATAATCGACGTAAAATCGTCGTAATATTATTGTTGAATGTAAAATCGTCGTAAAAAGTCGTCGTAAAAGCGTCGTAAAGCTCAAAATTTTCCTATAAATAGATCTTCATTCCTTCTTTCAATCACAACACATCATCATTCAAACATAAGAGCATCATCATCCTAGAGACCCATTGTAGGTCTCTTAAATTTTAGTATAATGTTGTAAATCCTGATATATTGGGTTATTCATTGCTGGAAACCCGAATTAGTAGTTATTTACTTTGAAAAAAAGAAGTAATAATATTAAAAGGTTACTCCATTCACGTGGCTAGACGTGACACAAGAGACCAGCTCCTTTATTGTCTAATCAATAAAAAAGAGATAGTATTTTGAGTTTATTTCAAGATGTCTATATACGAGCTAAGAAGATGGATGTAGTTGCGTAAAGATTCAGATGGGGCGTTGACAGAAGAGTTCAAGAACGGGTTAGAAATATTTATGTATCAGGCTACAAATATGGAGAGTACGAGGTATACACTAACCAAAACCGTGTGGACGCATTTATTAAATAGAGGGTTTATGCCGCAATATTTTGTTTGGTATCTACATGGAGAAGGATATGGCAGTAATACTCATGGGAATCCTGGTAGTAGTAGTAATTATCAAAGTCATGTTGATTTTGATGAATCGAATTATGGTCATCAGCCTAATCAGTATCAATCTGATCAAAGTGTAGATCATGATAGGATGCATGAGATGGTGATTGATGCATTTCATGAAACGCATACTGGTAATGCTGTTGAGGAACCTAATGTAGATGTCAAACGATTTTATGATTTGTTAGACAATGCTAATCAGCCAATCTACGAAGGATGTAGAGAAGGCCTGTCTAAATTATCGTTGGCAGCTAGGATGATGTCAATTAAAACAGATCATAACCTGGCTGAGGTTTGCATGGATGATTGGGCTGATCTTCTGAAAGAGTATCTACCGGAGGATAACTTGGCAGCGGCAACATACTATGAAATACAGAAGTTGATTTATAGTCTTGGTCTACCTTCTGAGATGATAGATGTATGTGTTGACAATTGTATGATTTTTTGGAAAGATGATGATCAGCTGGAGGAATGTTGATTTTGCCAAAAACCAAGATACAGGCCGCAAACTGGTGGGCGTAAAAGGATACCGTACCAACGTGTGTGGTATCTCCCTATAACTGATAGGTTAAAACGGCTTTATCAATCTGAAAGGACAGCTGCATCAATGAGATGGCATGCGGAACATACACAAGTAGATGGAGAAGTTGTTCATCCATCAGATGCAAAGGCATGGAAACACTTCAATATGGTATACCCAGATTTTGCTAAGTTCAAACGGAATGTCTATCTTGGTTGGTGCACTGATGGTTTTAGTCCATTTGGTATGTTTGGTAGACAATATTCATTATAGCCAGTAATCCTAACTCCTTATAACCTTCCTCCAGATTTGTGCATGCAAAGAGAATTTCTTTTCCTAAGTATTTTGGTTCCAGGTCCCAATCATCCGAAGCGAGCTCTCGATGTATTTCTGCAGCCACTCATACATGAGTTGAATCAGTTATGGTATACCGGCGTTCGCACATATGACTGTTCTACGGGAAAAAAATTACTATGCGGGTTGTGCTTATGTGGACAATAAGCGATTTCCCCGCTTATGGTATGCTATCAGGATGGACTACACATGGGAGGCTATCTTGTCTTTATTGTCTTCATCGAACTGATGCGTTTCAGCTAAAACATGGTAGAAAAACTTGTTGGTTTGATTGTCACCGGAGGTTTTTACCGGATAACCATCCATATCGGAGGAACAAGAGGTTATTTAAGAAGAACAAAAGTGTACATGTCCCTCCACACGTAAATTTAAGAGGAGCTGATATACATGCGTAAATCGATCATTGGAGGGCAGAGGAAACAGTAACGCGTGGGGGAAACTGGCACACTCCTACAAATATGCCTGAAGGTTATTGAGTTCATCATAATTGGTACAAGAAAAGTATCTTTTGGCAACTACCCTATTGGAAAGATCATCTGCTCAGACACAATCTTGATGTCATGCACATTGAAAAAAACTTTTTTGATAACATCATGCATACAGTTATGAACGTAGCGGGAAGAACAAAATACAATGGTAAGTCAAGATTGGACTTGCCTGATATATGCAACAGAAGTGAGTTGCATATACTGAGAAACGGGAAAGCACCAGTTCCTGTATTTCGGTTGAGTGCAGATCAAAAGTCAGCATTGTTCAGATGGGTTTCTTCTGACGTTAAATTTCCTGATGGGTATGTTTCTAATCTTTCTAAATCTGTTGAGAAGGGGGTAAAGTTTGCCATGACTGCCATGTTTTTATGCAACGATTATTTCCATTTGCATTTGCTGAACTCTTGCCCAAAAATGTCCATGAAGCTGTTGGAGGCATTGGTGTTTTTTTTCGGGATCTTAGTACACGAACATTATCAGTTGATGTAATATCACAACTGGCATTGAAGATTCTAAACTTGTTGAGCAATTTGGAAAAGATCTTCCCACCATCATTTTTGATGTTATGGAACATCTTCCTGTTCATCTCCCTCACGTAGCAGAGCTCGGTGGACCCGTTCAGTACAGGTGGATATATCCGTTCGAGCGTTTCATGAAGCATCTTAAGGGTAAAGCCAAAAACCTAGCTAAAGTGGAAGGCTCAATTGTGGCGGTAAGCTTGACGCAAGAGACTTTGCACTTCACTTCGTACTATTTTGCACCGAAAGTACGAACACGCAAAAGAGCTACTCGTCGATATGATGATGGAGGAGTTGGCCAAATATATGTCGTTGAGGGTGTACCTGACATATTCTTGCCGATCGGACGTCTTAGTGGAAAACTAAAAGAAGTTTGGTGGTCGAATGAAAAAGATTATCACAGTGCACATACGTATATCCTGCTAAATTGTGAAGAGTTGTCATCGTACGAAAGGTACTTTTTTAATTAATAATATATATATATATATATATATATATATATGTCAGTATTAATAAACTATTTGTTGTTTTCTCTGCACATTCGTTGATGAGGTTAAAGAATGCATATCTGGGGTTTCTGAAACTGAAATCAATGATCGTAAAGATCAACACTATG